GAAGAAAAAATTATTTGTTCTTGTTTTTTGATTTGATGCGATATTAATTTCTCCTATCTTGTCTCTCTCTCTCTCTCTCTTTCTTTCTATAAATAATCCTATCTCTCTTCTATATTGTTATTAAATGCATAATGGTGCACAAGAACTGCGCCATATGTATGCACAATAAAAAATGTAATTGTTGTAATATATGTATGTACCAATGTACATAAATTGTATATAAAAAAAAATTTTATAGGTCACCAAATATAAAGGAAATTATCGCAAAATTTATCAGATGTTTAAAAGCCATAATCTATACCTTATTTATAAAAAAGGAAAAACAAGGAAGATAAGGAATAGTAAAAGAAGGAAAAAAAAAACCTGTCCGCGAATTTATAATTACGTTTTTTCCCATTTTTTTTTTAATACGTAATGCATTCATTTAGAATAGTTAAATTATATGTACAAGTAAATACTGCAAAATATAAAAAAGAGCAAAAAAAAATTCGTATATACAATTTTTATTAAATATCCTTAAAGATAAAGCAAAAAACAATAACAATGATTTCTTTACATCTCTCATAATCTCCTCATCAAAATAAGGAAATCTAAGGTTTAATTCTAAGGTAACTTAAAAAAAAAAGGACTTTGAATTTTGGAAGGACAGGTATAAAAGAATGCTTTCTTCTCCCTCATAGGCATACATTTTCTATTGTTCAGATTTTAGTTTTTACTAAATTGAAATTTCAAATGTATTAATTCATCTGTACCTACACATAAACTATTATGTATTCACAATATTATTACATAAGTTTTACTAGCCAATCAAATCCATATATGTATATAATAAAAATTTATTATGGTGTCCTTAACTTAAAAAATTGCAATAACACACCTTATACGAGTATGCCAATTAGTTAATTGCTTTAGCTTAAATACAAGTATTACGAGTATTGTGCAAATGAATAAGGATATTTAAAATAAGTATTATTTAAATGCATTGAATTTTAAGGCGAAAACATGCAAAACATATAGTATTTCACCTTAAAATTCAAATTCTAATAATCCGAATATTAAAATGTAATCATGCTCGTCTGTTTCTCATAATTTAAAATGTAGTTTAATGAATATATATGAACTTTAAATAATTACAAAATAAAATTAATTTTGAATTAATTTAGCGATTACACAAGATCTACTGCATATCCTTGCACTGCATTATATAATATTAAATTATGAAATTTAATTATAAACAAATAAAAATAAAAATTATTTAATAATATTTCCAAAAATTTTATTTCCTTTTATACTCAGTCTCACATACATACATATGTACATATGCGCGATGCATATTATATAAAAAAAAAATTCTTATGTAATATTTTTTTCCAAAAAATAAATTTAAGGGGATAGTAAAAATTGAGTAATCACCTTTTCTCTATGACATTGACAACTTAAAAAATTATGGAAGGAAATTTTTTTATGTACAATTTCCTGTACATATATATATGTAACCATAAATAAGAAAAATTGTTAGTAAAATATTATATGAATCTTATGACAATAAGGTCCTTTTTGGTCCCTCATCAAATCCTTCTATCCAAAACACTACTGCTATATATGCATTTTAAAATTCAAAAAACGAAATTTCAACAAAACAGGAATTTTGAATGAAAAATTATTCATACAATTCGTTGCTCGATTATCGGGGCGCTATCTGTGCATCAGAATGCGAATATAAATTTAAATTCATGCTCAAGTATATACAAACATACTAACATACGTATACGTTTATGGTATATATGTATATATGTACATATATATTTTAGAAATTTTTCAATTGCATAAAAAATTTTCTTTCTTATATAATAATAACAGAAATATATATAATATTCACTTATGTGTATCAATATATATATGTGTGTGTATATGAATATAATAAATATATGTATATATAATAAATTTAAAATTGTTCTAAATATAGAGGACAACAAAAACATTATTATTACTTTATTTTTTTTCAATTTATAATTATGCGAAAATTATTATGATTCTCACTCATTCACTTTCATATTTTTTAAATTCACTTGCAATATTTATATACATACATATAAATGAAATTATTATTAAAATAATATTTTAACAAGTATACACATACATATGTACTAATATATAATTTAAATGTCATATATGTAAGAAGTGTGATTGTAAATTAAAAAAAAAAAAATCTGTTATAATCAGAAAAAACTTCCTAAATCTAAAATTATATAATAGTTTCGAATAATAGGTCCGAATTTAAAGATTTCATTTTAAGTCTGACTCGGACTATATACAAATTTTTATTTGACAATTTAATTTTTTTTCTCACTATTCATACTGAGATTCTGGGATAAAAGTTCGTGAAATCAAAGTCATAGTATATACATACATACATAAAATAGATTCTATTTTACAAAATAAATTAATGATTCCGATTTCCGGAATAAGTTGCAACTTCAACCGATAATAGATTTTTATAATATGGAATACTTCAAATATTGTTAGTAATCTCAATTTAATTATAACCCATAGTCGAATAGACGTTTATTTAACTTTTGAATATAAATAGTTCTAATATTTCTTTTATAAATAAATGAAAAATTTTTTTAACCTCTTGCTTTTTATTTCTAGTTTTATTTTATAAACAAATGACAGTTAATATATAAATCTTTAGAATTTAAAAGAATTTTACTCTTAGATTTTATAGGTTCTTTTAGAGCAAATGGTGGCCACATCACCAAATTTGATTATTCAAAATTTCTTGTAGCTTATTAAAATTGATTATGGCGGTTACAAGAAGGAGCAATTTTAATTACTTTTATCAAGCATATTAGTCTACTAATATATTCGCTAGTGCGAAATTTGAATATCATGGTTTCTATAAATTCTGAGATACAGCCAAAAAAAATTTTGAAGTTATATGGCAGCTACCCGAACCAGTACCTCGATCATATTCAATTTAAATAGGGTTTTGGCATTTACTATAATAAATCACTTGTGACAAAACTTAACTCAATTAGTTTTTGAGTATCTAATCGTTGGGCGACGGACGGACGAACGGACAGACACACACACACATAGGCATGGTTAAATCGACTCATAATTCGACGCCATTATTTCTTAACATTACTAATGGTAAGACAAATTTAGTATACCTTTCGAACATATGTTCGTACGGGCATAAAAAAACGAAAACAAAGTATGACATTCATGAATGATAGTCGTGTCGACCATACCGTGTATATGTGATGTTTAATATATGTCAATTTCCTATGAAAAATCGATATTTCTATAATTACAATTTTCACTTTATTTTTCTCATTTTCCTTCACCGTCATTTCCACCCCCCCTCCATTCCACCACACCAGTTGTCTTTTTTTTAATATACAAGTTTTTAAATAAAAATTAAATTAATTAAAAATTTTTTTTTTTCAAGTTTTAATCAATTATTTTTATAATTGTAAAGAGGTGCGGAAGGACAATAATATTTATATTACATATCTCTTCCTTTTCTTCTCTTCTATTATCTCTCTCTTTTTTTGTTTTCTCTTTTATAAATGTCAAAATAACTTCAATTTACTAATATAATGTACATACTATGATTTAAAAAAGCACATAATAAACATACTTTCGATTTCCGATAAAAGAGTATCTGTGTACTTGTGTACTGTGTATAATAGAATATATATATATATATATATATATATATATATATATATATATATAAAGGAAGGTTATTTATGTATTATATAGGTCATGTTTTATAGGAGCCAAAATGACTCTTTAAAATTGTTATAATATTCCAATTCAAAAAAGTTGCGCAATCTTTTTTTTATATTGTATTAATACTGAAACATGAATAGATAGCGGGCGGAACATGGATAGTATCTCCTTCTTCCCCATTTTCCGTGTTTTTGGTTTTTCCCAATTATATTTACACTTAGAAAAATAGCTGTAATTTAATAATATTATTGCTCCGTAACATATGTGTTCCACGTTACAAATCAGTATATAGCTTAGTGACGTCTGTAATTAAAGTGCTAGAGTATAACTAATTGGGAAATATTGTTTTTCCAATTTTTACTTTGCATTCAAATATTTAAGCCTAGTCTCTAATAACAAGGCGAATAATATACTAAAAAAAAAGCTCAGTAGCATTAAAATTATAAATTCATTTGAATTTGCTCTCTGTCTTATCATATGTACTTAACACCCCGAAGTTCTAAAATTGGAAAAATTTAAAATTATGGACGCTTTTTCAGAGAAAGATAAACTTTGTGTAACTTGTCTTATACATTTTGTATATATAAATAACAAATATATACGGAAAATAGAGGAATCCCTGCTGTTTGGGAGTATATGTAACATCGAATTTACGTACACTTGCAGCTATATATCCACATTACATACATTTGTTGTGTGATTGCAAAGAATATATTATATGGTTGGTATATTCTCAATAAAATAAATGTATTATATAAATTATTCTTAAATATTTTAATAATTTCTCTATAGAGAATTTGTAATATTTTTAATTATGGATAAGTTTTCTATAATATTTCATATAACATTGAATTTTTTGAATTTTTTAAAGAAGGTTTTTCAAAATTATGAATCATATAACCTACCCTAACAACTATGTATATATTTTCACCTTATATATATACATATACAGTAAATTAGTACGCAAACCTCCCTGACCCACTCCGCTATACAAATTTGTTTTTTCTCTATATATATATATAGAAAATTAATTTTAAACTAAAAGAAACTGGAACCGCTTCGGAACCATAAAACTCAATTCGAATTCGGAATAATTTATTCTCTACCTAAAAGTATGCAATTTTTAATTATTTAATGATTTTTATTATTTTTTTATATTTTTTCATTTTTATGTTTTTATAGTTTTAGTAAATTTTGTAAATTTTGGTACTTTTTTTTAGATTTAGTACTTGTTAAATTTTTTGTAATTAACTTACTTTTTATTTTATGTTTAAAAGCATCTAATTTTTTTGTTATTAAAATAAATGGAAAAAAAATATTTTATTTAAAATGATTTTTCCTCTGTTTGGATCCACCGAAAAAAAAAAAAAAAACAAAACTAAAAATATTATTTAATTTTTTTTTCCGTTTCTTAAAAATTATTCACGATTTTTTTATTTTTTTAACCGTAATTTTCTTCCTTTCATTTGACTTTTTTTATCCTTTTTTGCCTTTTTTTTTATTTTTACAAATGTTTACACGAATGTACACAAATATGTAAAAATGGTTTTTTTTTTATTTTTTTTACAAACTTTTTTTTTTTCTTTTTTACTGCAGAAAAACAGAGCCACTATCGGAGAACATTAATTGTAAACTGAGGGAGCATAATGTGAAATTTTTGTAAGGAAGAAAATCCAAAAAAAAAAAACACAAATGAAAAGAAGAAAATATTAAAAGGAGAAAAAAAAATAATAAAAAACTACACTATAAAAATGTTTGAGAGAAAATTATACACTAATACTCATATATATATACACTGACTAACTAAAGTGTTGTATAAACCAATATTATAAATCAAATAAAAGGCCAAAACAATATACACATATAATTCAACAAACAAAATATAATAAAAAGCGGCACGGGAGAACTTTCGAAATTTTTGTATATATTATGGATTATTGCATTGAAATGGAATATATTATTGTCTCTTTGCAGAATTTTCCTCCATTCTTCCTTAGATATAGAGAATAATATGCCGAATATTTTGGCCGAAAAACATTATACGTTAAGTGTAAACGTTATACGGACAAAGTAAAAGTGAATTTATATATGGAGAGACACTCTACAGAAGTAAAATATATTTATTAAAATGAATTAAGATTAAAATTCTCAGTTATATATAAATTAGGATGAAGACGCCTACCTAGCCCAGATATATATTTAAGTTGTCATTATTAATTTAACACTCCGTTTTTAAAGCTCTCTCCCTCTCTCTCTGTGTTTAGCCTGTCGGTTTGTCCGTTTACCTCAGCGATATTTTAAAGTCACATTAAGCTGCTATATTCTAATAAAATTTTCACGCAGTGATTCGCCGTACAAGTGCTATATAACTTAAAAATTTGTCTTTTTTTTGTACTCATATCTATAAAAAGCACACATAGTATCATCCAATATTAAACCGAAACAGATTTTGTTTAGTAATGTATAGAGGTGAAACATGTCTAGAGGAATATTGTGGTTTTTACTTTAATATCATTATACCTTATCATACCCTATATATGTAGGTACATTAATAGAAAACATGAAGTTACATAAAACATAAATTATTCTCAAAAAATTTTTTAAAATTTGGGGTAATTAAAAAAATTTTGCATCGAACTATAAAGAAAAAATATAAAAAAAATTCAATAAAAATTTTTTACGACTGCGTATAAAAAAAAAGAACAAAAAAAAACAGAGAAAATTTTTAAAAATTAACCATGAATTTTATTCTGCTTTGCTACCTTCTCGTTTCATCAAGTCGATTACAACAAATCGTCAGAGAGAAGAGAAAATAATATTGAAAGAAAATTAAAGAGAAAAAAATAGAGAGAAAGTTTGAATTATTGAAAATATAATAATAATGTAAAACAATAATAAGAATAATAGTAAAATGAAAATCTTAAGATTTAGAATACAGAAATTGAGAGAGCCTCAAAATGAATGTCACCACAATATAATAATATTTCCCAGATTTATCTAATAGATGTTATTTGACACAAAAACACATACATATATAAAACAAAAATACTGGATTTTTCCCGTATAAGAATTACATATAAGAATTTGTTCAGCATTTTTGCAAAATTTAAGGAAAAGCACTAAAAAACTTTGTTAATTCTCATGAACATTTTCGAAAATTAATCCTTGTTATTTACATTTTAAAAAAAATTTTATAAAAAATATTTTCTCGAAATTGGAGCTTATTCATAGAAAATATAGAAAAAAAATCACCCATTATACAAATGTTTTTATTATAATGGCAAAAAAAAAAAAGTATCCTGGATTCCTTACGTTTTTACTTGATTTTTTGAAAGAAAGCGTATAATAATATGTATGTACATGTATATATATGTATATATATATATACATATAGGTGGAACAATAAAAATCTGTTTGTGTGTACAACAGTTACGGCATTACACTAATTAAAGGTGAGGACATTCATTGCCTATACATAATCAAAATGGTGCAGTTGCGGGATCCCCTGCATAAGAAAACATTGTCTCTTTTTAATATCTAGGTCTAGTAAATATCATATAATACTCGTTTAATGTGTTTATTGCATATACATACAATATACATTAGTAAATTAAGCTTTTTGGGGCAAAAGAATTAAATTTTCTTTTTTTATTTTGTCTCCTATGATGCATTGCATAGTCTAAGAAACCCTACAAAAACTCAAAGAAAGAAAAAAAAATTAATGTTACAAAATTGTTGTTGTTTTAAAGAAAGAATATACAATGGAGTACAATTATAAGCCTGAGAAATAATTACAAAGACTGAGCCCCGAAATTAAACAATTTTGCTTGAACTCTGTTCTAGTTTTGGAAAATCTAAAATAACGGTGAAACTTTTTTTATGATTAATTAAAATGATAAAAAAATATCAAAATGTCTCCGAACAGTTTTATTGAAAATTGATTTATATGGCCAATCAGTTAACTGGTATTAAGATATTAACTGGTTAATGCAAGAAAGGCAACCGATTAAATAGAAATCATAAACAAATCGAGCACTACACCTAGGTTCAATTAAATATTTACTATCTGTACGGCTGTACCTATGTGACGGTCATTAATTTTTTTTTGTTCGCTTATCTGTATTCCCTTCGCATGCAACAGTTCTATTTCTGGGTGTTAACCTGCTGTAAGCTCGTCGGTTCTTAAATAAATTTTCTCGAAATTTTGTATATACCATCCTATATTAGTAAATTTATAATTTTTTTGTTAAATTTCACAGATGGTAATCCTAATTTAACTCTTGCATAATAACTGTTACACAACATTATTCTGTTTTTTTCTTTTTCTATTCATTTTACACATAAATATGAAAATGCACATAATATATGTGTGCATGCTGCATATATATAATTGTATAATAAAAAATAAACACAAAATAAAGCACATATACACACTCACATCAGTTTTTTATGATGAAAATGTCTCAATAAAACAATAATTGTGTAATGAAGACTCAAGGTCTGGATATTTTCTATATTCCATTCATATTCTCATTTCTTGAAATTTTTTTGTTGTTTTAAGTTGCTTAGAAAAGTTTGAATTCTGAATTTATAGTCTTGACTCGATTTTTTTCACTAAAAGAATACTCTATGATTTTGATTGCAAAAATTCTCTTAACGGTATTTCATTCAAATCATGAAAATTTTCATTTTTTCTCTTTTTTTGTCAAAAATTATTTATAAAGTATTGTAAATGTAAACTTACTTACTCAAATTCTCATATACTTCATAATGAGCACTAAAGAATTGTTTAATTTCCGTTATTTTTTCTTTATTTTTCCAGAGAGAGTTTCTGAGTTGGGACTTTTGTTGTTACTGTAAAAAATTAAAATAAATTAAAATTTTTTGTCGCAGAACCAGTATAGTAACTTATACTTTACATATATATACAGTGGGGCAGTTAAGTAGAAAAGGCATGCCTTGTGATAAGATTTTCTCCTCACTGAGTCCATTTAGTTATAACATAGTTATGCAGAAGTTGAAATGTAGCGCGGCCAAAATCCCTAACCAAAAATTCTACATCAGGAGGAAAAAGAAATATCTATGCACATATTATTTGTTCATCATGTTTCAGGAAGGCTTCTAATTTGAAATATGTGGAATTAGATTTTGCGAGTGGTTTCAAAACTATACCATAGGTTTTTAATTTTATGGGAATTTACAATTAAAGTTTTTTAGGCTGCAGTTAGTCCTTACCCGTGCCGTGTGCTTTTTAATCCTTACTCCTTGAAATATAATTTTTTTTGTTATTTGTAAATTTTATTATTAAAATACTAAATTTCCATTTTTTTTTTGATTTTTTTTTTTTATTTTACATACCCATTATTTTTTATTTTTGTTTTTTCTTATTTAAATATAAAATTTAAAGATTTTTAATTAATTTGAATTTTTTATACATTATTATTAAATTACTTTTTTTTACATTAAAATTATTTGTTAGGGCTCTTGGTTGATGAATGGTTTTGATGTTGTTGTTTATTTTGCCATTGCAGTATGTTTATTTTATGTTCTTGAAAGTAACGTCAATTGCATATTTATCAAAAATGATGTTGATGAAATTTCAAAGCTATTTGTTTACTGTTTTAGTTTTCCCTCCTCTATATGTATATATATAATATATGTAAATGTTGGTAGGTATAAAAATACAAAAATAAAACCATGTAACTTCGTGTATGTTGGTTATTCTCGGCTCGTATACGTTCTTATTTGCATACTTTTTGTTAATCGTATATAAATTTAATTTTTTGAATATTTTCATTTAAATATTTACAATGATTTTTTAGTAGAATAAAGTGAAATTATAATTAATAAATTTATTTTTTTTTATGTTAACCCTGTTTTTGTGGAATATTTTTCTTTGATGGATTAAATTCATACGATTGTTTTGTGCATTGAACTTCACCATGTAATCCATATTTCAATGAACATACACAATTACTGGTTACTTCAGTCTTATATAATTGATCGGCGATAATAGATGAAACGCGTTGTGTATATAATTTTTTCTGATCTGGTGTTTTTAATTGTTTAAAACTATTTAATGCAAATACCCAACTATCATCATTAATTAATATATCAATAAATGGATCATAAGAATATTCCAATTTTTCGCGTTTATTAGTACCACCAAGCATAGCAAGTGCTCTTTTATTAAAACCTATAAATTTTTAGGAAAAAACAACACAAAAGTTAAATTAAAATTTTAATTTTTTTTTATAAAAATTAAAGATGAATACAAAAATGTACGCAGCAATGAAAGTATTAATTTACAATAAAGGATGCAGTGGTGCCAGCAGTATTTGCTAATATGCCAAAAAAGAAAAGCTATGAAAGTAATGGAAAACTATTTTGTAAGCAATGCTACTACTGTCCTGCTTTCAATACTTAGCGAACCGTTGGCATCGATAGTCAACTAGCACACCGGAGGCATTACAAACTTTTGAAAGGTAAAGATGAATAGTGTGCCAAGAAATGATTCAAAAGACTGCTAGAAGTGGGGTAAGATGAGAGGGTGTTGTTTTAGAATCTAAAAAGAGGTATATAGATATGGGTCATACTATTCATTACACTAGTCGGCCCGAAAACTTCCAGGACTATTGTGAAATCGAAAGTTTAAAAAACCATAGCTCGAAGGATTATTCAAAAGGCAAAACGTTTAAGAAAAAATTTATTCACACGAGGGGTAACGAGTCACTCAGAACAGGGTCCTATTGCACCAACCACTTATCACTTGTCACTTATTAACTTACAAAATAAGTTTTATTCGATAAGTTGAAAGGTAGTTAGTGATAAGTGGTTGGTACAATAGGGTCCAGATAAGAGAGCGACAGATCGAGCTCAAACCAGTGCCACAAAAGCAACAATGGAAACAGAAGTGCGTGTCCTACTTGATCTTCTTATAAAAAATAATTTAGATGTTAAACTAATAAGGTTAAAGAATCGATCTTTATAAATTCAATCACCCGGTTGTTCAACTAATGAAGGCAATAACTCATCTCTATTAAATAAGAGAGATGAGTTAGTGAGGTGGTAGGTTGATTGTGATGAAAAGGTACATTAAACAACTTTTCAAGTAAATCAAAAAAACGTCTGGTTGGGAACGATATCTGGTTGAGAACAAGATCATAGCACGGAATACCATGAAAAAGAAGTTGTATTTGCCGCATATGTATCAACACAGTATTATTAACATTTTGATGTTACAGGATGATAAAAAATATTTATTTAACTTAAAAAAAATAATAAATATCAACTTACCAACTACTTTTTCATTTGGTTTACCATCAACCGTTAATTCATCAACGGGTCCAATGTAATTCACTGTTACACCTTTTGTTTTGAACAAATAATTTAGCACCGGTGTACTTATGATGTCAACCTTAAAAATAAAAAAATAAAACAAATTACCAACACAATATCAAAATGAGGAAAAATAGTAAGTATGTCTTAAATTATTGTAATATGGAACTCAAGGAATTACACATCCTAACATCCAAAATTTTATAATAATAACTAAATTACTTATGAATTAAATTCAACTTATGAATTTTAATAATTGAATTGCATATTAGTTGTCAGGTTGTGTATCATTATTATTTATGTTGCCTATATAGCATTTGTTTTTTTAATACTTACCATTTTATTTTTAGCTTCATTATCCCTTATTAATAATATTGATTTAACAGCATCTGGTCTAAATGGATAATCTAATGCTAATTCAATTGCTTTTAAATTTGATGCAATCGGTGTATGAATACCTTTCAATTGTTCTAATATCTCATTTAATTTACTTATACCAGTATCATTTATAATATAATCATCATATTTTGGACCATTTAATTCTGATTCTAATATTTTTCCATTATAATTCAATTTACCATTTGTTGTTAATAAATTTGGATATTTTTGTTCATTATTAAAACCAATAAATGCGATATTAATATCATTTAAATCACGTTGTTTTAATTCAACTCTCAATTTTGTTAATACATCTTGTACTAAATCATTTAATATATCACTTGATAATGATGTATCAACAATAAATATAAAATCAATTTTATTTTTTGGTACTTTAACATTTAATTCATCATCAATATTTATTATATTATTTTGATTTATATAACATTTACCACATTTTTTCGGTATACTAATTTGAATATTATTATATAAATGTACAGCTGATGCATATGTTAATGCAATATTACATGCAACCTCTTCTTTTTCAATATCATTTGTTTTTAATTTAACAATTGTATTACATGCATTCATATATGGTTTTTTATCAATAAATAAATATCCAAATATTAATGATGATTCATAATTAAATAATTCATTACATATTGGTTCGTTATTATCAGATTGTAATAATTGTTGTAATTGTTGTTGTTGCGGTATATTTGCACAATTCTCATTTAATTTATATGAATTACAAAAATCAATTGAATTCTCTAATATTTTATTATTTTGTATTAAAAAGTCATCATATGGTTCTGAATTACCATTACCAAATAGGCCACGTGTTTTACCAGTATAAAAGCCATTAATATTAATATGACATACTTTCAAATCTAATGTACATTTTATTAATACACCATATGATGATAACATTGTTATTGTATAATAACGTCTCCATACATGTAAACCATTTTCCATATTATGTAATGGATATTCAATTTTTTTATTATTTAATTTTAATATACCATTATTATTTATTTCAATAATATTTTGTGTTTTATCAATTAATATTATTGATTCTAATTTATCATTATTAATATTACCAATTATTGTAAAATTATTATCAATTGAATCTTGTGATAATATATATTTACATGAACCAGGGAATAATATATAACGTCCATCATATGTAAATATATTTTGTCCATTTGTTATATGACCATTTAATTGATATGGTGGTAAGAAATCTAATATTGATGGTATATTATATATTAATAAATTATTAAATATATTTAATTCTTCATTTTTAATATAATTAAATGGACTTAATTTAAATGAAAATAATGATGGCAATTTATTAATTGTTTCAATACCAAATTGTATTGGTTGTATTATAATATTATAAAATGAATTAATATTTTTATTACCACCAGTTAATAATGTATTTGTACCATCAATTATTTTATTATCACTACCAGTTAATTGTAATATTATTGAATTAATTGCTTTTATTAAAGCATTATATAATTTTTCTAATTCTTCAATGTCATTAATATCAGATTTATTTAATAATTTTATTTCAATATAATTTAATAAATTTGTTAAAAATTCTTTTAATTCATTTGATGTTATATAAGTATCTAAATGTGAGAATATATCATGTAATATACTTATTATTTCATCAATATTATACAATTTTATTAATTGTTCATTTAATTTATTTGTTAATTCTTTAATAATTGTTGGTAATTTGTTGAAATATTCTTTAATATCATCATATAATTCTTTCCATTCTTTTGATAACATTTTAATTACATCATTTATAATATCATTAATTGGTTTTAATAATTCAATAATTGGTTTACTTAATTCTTTCAAATCATTTTCAAAATTTTTCCATGCTTTTATTGCTCGTTCATATACATTTTTAATTATTTTATATAATTCATTATAAAATTCATTTAATATATCATTTAATTTATTATATAAATCTTTAATTGCTGGTAATATTGTTTCATTATATAATTTTTGTTGTTTCTCATAAAATTCCATGAATGCAATTTCAATTTTTTCATATAATTCATTTGTTTTTACTGATAAATCTTGCAATATTGCAATAATTTTTTCATATAATGTACGTAATTCAATAAATAATTTCTTTAATTCTGGATCATCTTCTAATTCACTTATTATTGATTTAAGATTGTTTTGATAATTATTTATTAATTTTGTTGTATCTGGTAAATTTTCTTTAATTTTTATATAACGTTCTTTAACACCATCTGATGCTTTTGTAAATTTATCATTTAATTTTTTCTTAGCAGCATTAATATCATTTTCCAATTCAGTTTTAGCATGTTCCTGTATTAAAAAAATAAAATATTTTTTTATTATTAAATATGCTATTATTAATATTAAATATTTTTAAAAAATTTCTTTTGATATTGTTATGCTGAAATATGATTAATATTCTGTTACTGCCAGTTATATAATTAATTTGATTATTATCATTCTTTAACAAGTTTATTGTTTTAGGAAAATTCATAGGAGACATTAATTCAGAAATAGTCAATATAGTTGCGATTTGCACACAAACGATATTGGCCAATGGGTGAACATTCATTATGTTCGAATGCAGATACAAAAAAAAACATATCTCGATATTTAATTTCGCGAGGCAATATCATTCTAAAATAACTATAAAATTGTTAGAATGTATTTTATACTTACCATAAATTCATTGAGCTCAGGTTTATTAACATCATATTGTGTAGCGAAAAATGTTGCCGGATCTAATGATATATTTGCATTATATAATACAACATTATTATTATTACTGATTTTATTTAAACGTAAACTTGCTTGTTTACCAACATTAAATTCACCGATTGCTTGTAATAAATCATCACGTTTTAATATTACTTTTAATTTCAATAATTGACCGAATGATAATTCATTTATTAATTTAATTGGTTTTGAATCAATTATATTATATGTATTTTCAACTTTAATTAAATTCTTTTGTTTATCGTATAATCCTTTCATATTGAATAATTGTTGATTTAATATTATTAATTGTGAATCAAATTTATCTTTATTATAATTTAATTTAATTGATGATTTAAAATTATTATTATTATTTGTATCAGTTAATAATTCAATAATGTAATTATCATTATTACAATCAAATTTAATTAATGATTTTATATTATAATTAATATTTAAACCATTACTTTGTAATTTCATATCAGCTAAATGATTAAATTCTTTATTATCATTATTAATATTATTTTGTATTTTAATATCACCAATAACTTTTAAATCATTCGTTTTAAATATATCCAATATTAAATTACCATTTAAATTTTTATTAATTGTGTCAATTTCACCATATAATTTAAATAATAATGGTTTTTGTATATATGGTGTTATTATTTTAAATTCGATATTTGAATTTATTAATTTTGTATTTTTAATATTTGTTAAATCAATAATTGACGATATTAATAATTTATCATTTGGTTTATTTAATTTATCAATATAAAATATAATTGAATTATCATATTTACCAAATATGTTATTATTTTTTGGTATTTTATTAATTGTTTCAAATGATATATGACGTTTTGGTAATATAATATCAATAATATTATTATCTGGTTTTATATTTATATTCAATTTATATTGTTTGTTTAAATTTGATTTTATTGTTATTTCAATATCATGTTTATAATTAATACCAGATTTTATATTCTTTGATTGTAAATCAAATTCATACGGATAGCCTAATTCAATTAAATTAATTAAAATTTGTAAATCATGTACTATATTTGTATAGTCATTATTATTAATTGTTATTAATGATTGAATACGGAAATTTGTACATTGTTTACTTTGTTCACAACCAGTTAATTCAACTATAAAGTTTTTATTTGTTAATTTTAATGTTGATATTAAATTTTTATTATCAATATGTCCATCAAATTTATATTCAAAACCAATTTCATTATTATGATCATTATTTTGATTATTATAAAATTGTTGTGTTAAATGAAAACTAATTGATTTTTTATCATTATAATATTGTATATCTCCACGTCCTTCAATTATTATTTTATTTTTTTCAGTTTTAATATTATATTTTGCATTACCATTTATAATATTATTATTATTTGATTGTATATTTATATTAATATCTTTATTTTTACCAATTATATTACAATTATAATTATATAATTTTAATTTATTTGAATTTAAATTACCCATTATATGAAAATCATCTGGATTATTAAATTTCAATTCAATATTATTTAATAAATCAAAATCAAATAAATTATCAATATTAATATTACCTTTAATATGATTATCATTTAATTTTTCATATATTGTTAAAATTTTAATATTTTTATTTGTTGTTTGTAATTTTAAATCAATACCGAATTTTTTATTAATATCATTATATGTTATTGTATTTAAATTATATTGTTCTTGATTAAAATTTATTTTGATTAATGTTGTATATATATTATTATTATCGTTTTTAGCTTTTAGTATAAAATCAAATAAATTAAATTTATCATATGACGTTTTTATTGTATAATGTAAATTTAATTGATCATTTTCAATAAAATCAAATAATATTTTAATATCAGCTTGACCATGTTTTTCGCTATTAAAATTAATTGTATGTTCAATTTTACCATATTGTTGTAACGATTTTATATCAGTTTTTGTTTTAATTTCATTTGATTTATATTGTAAATCACGTTTCCATAAGCCATTTATTTCATTTTTACCATTTGCTGAACATGATGTTTTTAAATTATATTGTCCATGTTTTGGTGTACCTTTTATATATAAATTTAAATCACCATATTTATTTAAGCCATTAATATTATAATTAATATTAAAATCAATTTCACGCATAATATTACTAACATCATTATTATCATTCTGTTGTTGCTGTTGTTGTTTTGAATATTTACCGTTTGATTTTAATGTAATTTGCTTTAATTCAGTTTCGGGTAAATCGAAATTTATTTTAATATCATATGTACCAGTTTTATCATCATTATTATTATTTAAATAATAATTACCATCAATATTATTTATAAATTTATTACCATACGAATTTGTAATATGATAAATTGAATGTAAATTTGAATATTCACTTATATCAATATTAAATTTAATTGATTCAGTTATTAATGTACCAGTTATGTCAATATTAAAATTAAATCCATATATTTTATTGTTATTATCATTATTTTTTAATAAATTTTTCATATTTAATATTAACATTAAATTATCATTTTTAAAATTATTATATTGTAATTTATAATCAATGTCATATATATTTTTATTAATATCATAATCTTTAATATTACCATTTAATTGTATTGAACGTTTATCATTATTTGGTAATATGTCATTAAATTCAAATAATAAATTTCCATTATTATTTTTTAATAATTTATTCAAATGAATATTAAATTGCCTTTCATTTGGTAATTTTAATAATAATTCACCTTTAATATCATTATTATTATCATGAATTTTTAAATCAGTATTAAATACAAATTTTTCTGTACCAATTTCTAATGTATTTTTTGTATTAAATTTATTAATATTATGTAATTCATTTTCTGTTTTATATTGAATTTTTTTATCATCAAATTGTATTGTTGTGTCCAAATTAAATTTTGGTAATAAATATAAAAATTTTGAATTTATTTTAATTGGTTTACCAGTTTTCTTTAAATTCAATGTTCCACTAAAATCACCACGTCCATTTTTATTTAAATTATATTTACCGTTTAATGATAAATTATCTTTAATTATTAGTTTTAATTGACCATTCTGTTTATCCGGATTTTTTTGTATATCAATATTGTATGATATTAATTCAGCTGTATCACGTTTAATTTTTATTTCACATAACAGTTTATCTTGTATGTCATTATATTTTAATTGAAATGAGTTTTCTTTATCATTATCATTTAATTTTAACTGTCCATTTAAATCGATTATTGCATTTTGCATTTGTAAATTTTGATTAAATTCACCTTTTAATGTACCTTGTGTACCCCAACTTGTTATTAAAATTGTATCCAATACATATTTATTATTTTGTGGATTTAAATCAACTTTTGATTTCAAATCAATAAAATGACGATTTAATTTTGCATTAAATATGAAATTCAAATCACCAATATGTCTTTGATTGCGCATTAATTTAACATTCATTGATAAAATTTTATTTAAACGTTGTGCTTCAAAATCAATTTTAATTAATTTTTTAGATTGTTCAACATTTAATTTGCCAAATATTATTGATTTCTTTTCATTAACATTTTTTATTTCAATATTATTATTAAATTTTCTAATTGCTGTGTCATCAGAAGAAGCCGAATCATCATCATTACCACCAATATTTTCAAATTCATTAAATAATTTCAATGAATGTTTACCAGTTTGTAGTTTGAGTTCATTTTTAAGCTAGAAAAAAAATTTAAATTAGAAAAAGCTATTGAAATATAAAGACTAAAATCGAAATATCAAAATTTTATATACTGAATACAGGCAAATACAACTTATAAGCTGACTTGTGTAGTAAGCACAGTATTTAATTACGATTATGATGTCATAGAGAAATGGTATTTTTTTTAAATTATATATATATATATTTTGGAATTGTTGTATATTACTGGATGAATATACTGAAATGCAGCTTATGAATTGTAATTGTTCTACATATGATACATATACTTACATATGATTTTCTAAATTCTAATAATAAGCTTCCACCAATTGTTGTTTCCGGATTATTATCTTCTGTTACAAATGTACCAACTGATAAACCAGTTACTTGATCATATTTAAAATGTGATTCAATTTTATATAATTTATTATCATTTTTACGTATATTTAATTCAGTATTAAAACCTTGTAATTTTTCATAATTTTCTAACCAACCATTTATTATAATATTATCTTTATTATCTGGTGTTATAATACGTAAATTATCGAAACTATATTTTTCAATATTATTTGGCATTTGATCAACAATTATTTTACCATCTAATTTATAACCAGCAATATCATTACGTATTTGATTACCATGAATAAATTCAATTAATGGTGTATATACATTATTATTTTTATTAAAACCAATTTTTTGTATTGTTTTATCTTTATCAATTTCAAATTGACCATATAATAAGAATTCATTATCATTATTAACTAAACCAATTTCAGTTGCTAAAATTTTTTGTGTATTTATAAAGTCAATGCGAGCAAATAATTTTGGTTTAACACCCAATTTAATATCCAATTCAGTTTTATGCGATTCAATACTATTTGGTGTATCATATATCAATTTCCAATTTTGTATACCATCATTTAATTCATATGCACCTTGTAATTTAATATTTTTTTCAGTTTGTAATATTATACTCATTTGTACTGGTCCATTTAATAATAATGGCATATTATTATCATTATTATTTTGTGTATTTTGATTATTATTTTGGTGTATTAAATTATTTAATTCAATATCTGATGGTAAATTAGCTGTATAACATATTGTTAAACCAAATAATTGTAATTGATCAAAACAAACTGGTTGATATGTTTTACGTTTTTTATTTTGTTTAAATGGTATAATTTTTATTTCTTTATCCATTTCTGATATATAAAAATCAACATTATGTTTAAATTCAATTAATTCAACATTTGTACGTGGTAATTTTAGATCAATATTAAAACCTTTATGATTATCATTTATAAAATCAATTGTCATATCACCACCATCAGCTGAATGTAAGTTTGATGATGTTCTAATACCAGTTGTTAATAAATAACCATTTATTGTTAAAAATGTTTCAAAATTAATATCATTTGATGGTATAAATTTTAAGCGATATTTGTTATTATTTTTATTTTCAATTAATTTATCAATATCAAATTCAATACCAAAATCTAATTTACCAGTTGATGTTGATTTAACAGCTAATTCTAATGGTAAACCGATACCAGTTGGATATACAATTTTTATATCTTGCATTAATGTATGATATTCAAATGTTTTATCAAATTTTTTTAAACCTTTTTTAAAATTACCAATAACTAATTTCAATAAATTTGATAAATCATCAACATTTGATGGTAAATGTTCCCCTAAACTTAAAAATGTTAATTCCGATCCAAAGATTTTCATTGATAAATCTAAATTAATATCATTATCAAAATGATTATTATTATCATCAGCTTTATATTTTAATGCCATATTATTTGAATCATCAATTAAACTACGTTTTTTACGTTGATTATGATGTCCAAAAGGCGGTGATCCAGATGATGCTATATAATCATTAACTTTATTCATTATTAATTGTGGTTCTTGACTAAAGAAACCCTTTGGTCCAAAGAAATGTTCTAAAATTTTTTCAATATTTTCTTGTCTGACATTAAATTCAAATGTATTAAAACTTGTACCAAATGCTTCATTTGTTATATTTAAACGTAATGATCTTGGTAAGAAACCTTTTTGTGAATAAATAACATTTGTATCAATACTAGCACCAATTCCCAATGAATCAATTGAATATGATAATTCATTATTAAATGAATAACGTTTTGGATCAATTGGAAATTTTTTTGTTATTCTTATATTATTTAAATGATGTTTTAGTGCTGATTTTGTAAAATCAGTCGAATCACGTATTGATTTTAAATGTGTTGTTATAAAACTACCAACTTGATTTACTTTTTCATTATTAATAATATCAGATAATTGATTAGCAATATCACCATTTGGACATTGTACTAATGATAAATATGCTTCAATACGTATTTCAGAATCTTCATTATAATCACGTAATATTGATAATGCATATTGTTGTAAATTTTTATTACATGCTGATGCTGAAAATGATTGTATTGCTGCAACACGTACACGTGAACTATGATATTTATTTGAACATTCCAATAATTGTGGTGTTATAATATCAGCAATATATTGTACATTACGTATACCTTTTAATACACTAACAATATGATCTTCATCTTTTTTATTATTTACTTGACAATTTTTTAATGCATCACGAAATTTTTCAGTTATTAAGTCAACTTCACCATTATTACATGAATTTTCTCTACAATATGTATTAACTAATGTTCCAATAGCTAAATATGCTTCACGTCCGGCATTTGGTGTTAATAAAGTCTGTTAATATGGAAATGAAAGAAAAAAAAAATAAATTTAAATTTTATATAATTCAATATCCAGATATTTAAATTCAAATAATAAATATACAATATTAAAATTCAGCAATTAATTATTCGAATTTCTACACATAATTCACAAAATATTCATTAGCTGAATTGTTAAAGTCAATATATATTATATAATATTAAGAAATAAAAAAAAAACATCACTTACTGCAACACTATTTAATGCATCTAAATCAATTGAATGTACCAATGCCAATGACATTAAGGCCATTTTTTTTTCAAGATGATTCCATTTACCAATTTGTTTAACAATTGCTTTAACTGATTCCTCTGTATTTGTTCTTATTAATGCATCAAAATATACTTTTTTAGCTAAATTATCATGTAATGATGATAATTCAATTAATGTATTAACATCAGCATTTCTCATTAAACGTATTAATTCAGAAAAATGTTGTGCTGAATCAGCTTTTGTATATTCTTTAACTAAATTAACTGTTTCATCAAAAACTTTTTTTAATACATCATAATTTCTAATACCATCATTATTTGGATATGAAAATATTATTGATTTTGATTTTAAATTATTATTATTTAATTGTGGTATATTATTATCATAATTATTATTTAATAATTTTAAAATTGTTTTTACTTTAACCCATAATATTTTTTTGCCATTATTATTTTGTTGCATTGATGTATATGTTTCAGTTAATTCAACATTTTCAATAATATTATTATTTAATTTTTGTTCTTTATAATAATCACCATTTAATATTGGACGTGATTTAATTAATGAATTTTCATTAACAACACCACTTGCATAATATGCAATTAAATTTTCACGATAACTGCATTTCATTAAATTACGAATTTTTATTATTGTTTTTGTACCATCATTATTTAATTGTGTTGTCGTTTCAGTTGGACATACACCAAATATATCAGTTTCATATTTATTATCAGTTATTTGTAACATTGATATTATTGAACGTTTTATATTTAATGAATAATCGTTATCATGTAATTCAGTACATATTTGCGGTTGAATTTCACCATCAACCATTGTAAATTGTATTGGCTTATTAAAATTATCTTTCATTTCTTTCTGTAATTTTTCGAGTGTTGTTTCGATTTTAACATTGTCCAATTTTAATTTATATGCACAATTGCCCTCATAATATAATATTGCATGACCCTTTAATTTCATATTTGTTTCTTCAGCTTGTGCATTTTGTATACCAATTGTAATATAACTGTCAATGTCATATTGATATCCAACACCCGGTTTATAATTTAATTTTCCAGTATCAGCTGTAAATTATTAAAAATAAAAAATTAAATAATAAAATATTTAATAAAAATTTTAAATTAAAAAAAAAAAACCAAAATATTGGATATTTTTAAAAATTTATTGATGCAGCCATTTTACATACTGCACCAATATTAGGAACTCTATAATATAGAATTTTCATTTTTAAATTTATACCAAACAAAAAAAAATATTTTGCATATTCATCCTGTGGCATATGCAATTTTTTTGTATAACATGCACATTTATAATTTTATCCTGTAAATATGCAACAAAAAAATTCATTTAAAATTAAATATATTTTTTGTTTTACTTACAGCGTGGACAACCCTTTTGGCAACCATCTTACATGCAAAGAAGAATATGAAAATAAAGAAAAAAAAATAAAAATAATTTTAAAATTTTTTATTTAAACGAAATATTTTAGTTTTTTTTTCAATTTTTTCCGGGCTCTGATTTCAGAATTACCAATATTTTATTAATTTGGTTAATAAGTGCGATAATATTATTGTATTAATTGGATATCGCACAATACAATTGAATAATGCTATTGTATAATTTTAAAATCATAAGAATATTGTTCATTGATTGTTCGGTTCAATTACAACTTGCATATTTCATGTTAAAAAATTAACATATTTTGTTAATGCAGTAGAGCACAGACAAGTGCACTTTCTCAGGATTTTGTGCAGTTACGTGTAATTAGCATAAGTGCACAAATTTGGACTTACACATAAATGTAATTTGAAAATTGAGAAATTTTAAAAAAGAGAAAAACTGCTGTATATTTTTATTTTTTCGCGAAATCCTTTTTTTTTTATTCTTTTAAGGTTTCGATTTTTTTTAATGAATTTTGTTAATTCGTCCTGTGATTTAATCAATCTAGATACGGTACATATATATTAATTCCATATTTCGCTGCTATTTCTTAGATTAGTTCATTCTTCTGCAAATATAGTTGATTCCGCAAAAAAGCAAAAAATGCATTTTAAATCCATTACATTAAAATAAAAAAAAAAATTATTATTTTTGACAATGCTGTATGTCAGCTGTTTGTCAGTTATGAGTATAGACTGGCTCTTACTCGAACTAATTCATGACAACTATATACGATATCAGTAATTACATAATATATAAATACATGTTATATATGTTTATATAAAGGTATATACAATAAATTTATATATAACATAAAATTATAGCCTTGTTGTATGTAATCAGTATGAGTTTGTCCGTTTAGGATATAAATATAAAAGTTATAACTTCAAAATTGCTGTAATATACGTTATCATAATTCTAGCTTATGACTTTGTCATAATATCGTAATATTTTAATTTTATATAATCGCGATAAATATTGTAATACTGGCAATTTTATAGTTTCGTTTACTATTTTACTTATATCGATAGTAAAATGTACATAATCTTATCATAAGTGAACATATTTTCATTCTAAATGTATACATATATTTTAGAATTATACATTAATGTTCACATTCTAATTATATAACACATTAGTTTTAATATATCTATTTTTATATAAACATGAAAGCCATTAATTTGCAAACTGTATACAAAAACAAAACAAATTTTAAGACGAAATTTAATAATGGTCTCTTTCTATTTCATTTATTCAAATGAATTTTATTGCGGAGTATTAAAAATTTATATTTTGGATCCTATGTATATAGAATTTTTAACTATAAAATCTTAGCAGCAAGTGTATTCTAAAGATATCACTAAAAAAATACGAACCTTTTTACGATTTTACATATTTTGACGTATAAATTCAGTGATTAATATTAAGATTTTTAGGTTATTGCAATTTTTTCCAATTATCTTAAAATTTCAATAAAATTTTTTCTGAAAAAATATGTTAAATTGCAGTTTTAATACTTCGCTTTTAATTTCGGCCACCCTTATTGATATTTTAGCCAATTTCAATCCAAATTTGCCAAAAAATATGATAAATAAAATTGGAACCCTTAATGTTTACAATTCAAAAACAAAACAAAAAAAAAAAATAACCGCCAATGAAAAGATGGACGAAATAGTAAGGTCGTTAATAACCAACAATTCAATTCAGCAATAATTTTTGCTATTGAATTTAAAAAATTTTCACAATTCTACATGTTTGAGTGTCATTTATAATTAAGTTTTATTCAAACTTTAAAAACTTTATGTGAATTTTCAATATTTTAAGGTTCTTGAGCTTTGCCCTTCTTACTTTTACGAAGTGAATTAACAAAAACATTCTTGGTCATAAATAGTTCCTATTTTTATTTGAAAGTAAAAAGTTATTTTTATTTTTATTGTTATTTGTGCTTTATTTAAGTGTGCACGAAATAAAAATGAAAATAAAGAAAACTGAAAATAAATCACTGATTCAATACTTCTAAAAAAAATTTAGCACTTTTTTCTACTACTTAGTGACAAATTCAGCACTTTTTTGAACTTTTACAATTTTTAGCGAAAAAAGTTGTCATCACTGCGTGTTATACCATATAAGTAGTGCATAATAACTTCAATTCTTGTATGCGTATAAACATCTTTCTCTCTCTAATTTCAAAATCGTAGCATATTACACGGTATATTAATATTACACAATTCAGTTAAAAAATTATATTTGTTACTGAATTGTAATTTTATTAAAATAATCTATTTTAAAATGTTTCTTTTCAAATGGATCTTAAGTGAATATATAGGGGCTATTATTTATATGAAATTTAATAAGAAACACCCTGTATTTTAAATTTAAAAATAATAATATAGTATATATAGGTAAATTCCATATTTAATATATATATATATATATATATATATATATATATATATATATATATATATATGAGCACTAGTTATTTATTTATTAATATTTTTTTCTCTCTCTTCTTGATTAAATTGAAAAAAATGAAAAAAATGAAAAAATAAAAAGAAAACAAATTGTAAAATGATTATATCCGGTAAATAATATTTCAAATGTTCATAAATAACAATAAGTACATTATTTACATATGTATGTATATATATGTATTATATATATGTACCTATATATTTTGAAAATTTCATTCTATATAATATATATATATAGATTAATCCAGAACTAAGTACTCGTATATAGTGATAAGAGACAACTTTCATTTATAATACAAGATTCGCCGCCGTTATCCATATATATCACATAAAAGTTATTTTATATAAAATTACTGCTACAGCGATTCATATATATATATATGTGTCGCTACATATAGACACATATATAATATGTATGTAATTATAAATATTGACCTTGCATATACGTATATAATAGGGGATTTTATACCAGTGGTTATATATAATTTTATAAAAAATTGGCGGAACTTTTATAATGTGGCAAATATGGCAAATTTGACTACATATTCTTAATCGCATAAATATAAGAATGCATCATAGCAAAATACTTATATATATTCTAATTTTTATTAATTAATTAATTAATTAAAATAAAAGAAATTGAACTTCTGAGCAACATAATGGTACACGCATAAATAATAACGTTAATTGCGACGGCTAACTACGTTATATGATTTCAATTTTTTAAATTTTAGCATAAAATTCTTTTTTTATAATATTATTATAAAACTTATTAAAAAAATATTCTGTTGATTATACATAGTATAACATTTATATAATTAACAAACTTATATACATTATAATTATAATATTATAATATTGAATTTTAGTTTATACATACATATATGAACATTGTAATATAATATTGTAAATTACCTGCATTTGTTGAAATTATCAAAAGAAATAAATATAAAATTCCGGTAATAAAGAGTTCTCGACAAGAATAATTTCCTGGCTTCATCCTCATCTTCATTTCTGTTTCTGTAAATTTGAAAAAATTAAAATTTGATTATTAAAATATTGAAATAATTGTTTTTAATTTGAATATTAATTCTAATTTTATATAACAGTTCCATATAACTATACGAATTATTTTAATGTAACATAAATGTTTTCATATTTTATACTAAATGATACGTTAATATGCCTGTACTTGACTTTAAAATTACTTTTAATATTATGATGGATAATATATTATTATACATGATTTAGATATTACACAAAAGTATTATACTTAATTCCAGAATTTTGTATATAGCAAATGTTGTATATATTGCCGGTATATATACACTTTAATTTCGTGGTTTATACATATATTCTGTAGTATATGTATATATACAAGTAAATAATTTTGTTATTAAATAATTTTTGAATATATATATACATATATATATATATATATATGTACTATGGTTTAAACATTTAAATTTATCATAAATCTTATTGAATCGGATGTATATAGGGGAAATATTCAAATTGCTTATTAATAAGAGAAATAATTTTTATAATTAAATAAAATAATTTTAAATTAAAAACATGTGCAGTAAAAAATTTAAATTATCCGTTTGGAATTTTGAGTTCAAGTCAATTACATTAATCCGATCGTAACTCTCAAACTCTTATAAAAATTGTAAAAGTATAAGATTGTTAAAATAGTGTTTTCAATATCCAAAATTAAAGAAACAAAAAATTAAATAAAAATTTAATAAAAACTTTTAAATTTCTTTCTCACTTTATAACAGTTTTCTTTTTCTTTTGTTTTATTAATTAAATTCTTTCTATTTATTTATTTTTGTTAAGATTCAGATCAATCAGAATTTTTTCAATTTTTAATTTTTTTTTTTTAAATTTAATTAATTTTTTCAGTTTTTATTCACTTTTTTTTTCAAGCAATTACACAAAAAACACCGCACTATTGTTGTGGTCCTTATTTGGTTTTTCTTTTCTTTTTAATTTTTTTTTTTTAATTTTATTTTTAATTTACAGTTTTTATAGCTTTTTTACAGCGTTAGTATATGAACGGAATAATGCAAGAAAATTTAAAAAAAAAAAAACTTCTAAAAATTTAAAAAAAAAAAGAAACTGTTATAAAAGAACCAACGTACAAAATTCAAATAAATTTCTCTATTATTTTTTATAACGGTTCTTTTTTATTCAATTTTTTCCTATAAAAAAAAAATTCCAATTTGTTTTTGTTCCGTTATTTTGGAATGTGAGGAAGGCAGAGGGCAGACGACGAACGCGTACACACATTTAACTATATAAAAAAAGTCCAACAGCGCAGTGGTAAGCGGCAAACAACAAAAATATTTTAAAAAATGTGTGTATGATAAGCTTATGTGTTCACTTTTCACTCACTTTTTTTTTTTTTTGGTTGATGTTAATGAATTTTGTTTTCTTGTTTTTCTGTGTTTTTTTTTTTTCCTATTTAAAAAAAAAAAATGATGAGATTAAGATGAGGGATCGTTCCAAAAACACACTCAACAAGGAACTCAAATTGAATAAAATTGTAATTGTCCCTTATATATAGAGAAGAGGAACCCCTAATACCCCACACCCTAAAAATTTCTTCAGTATTTTTTTTTACTTTTTATTTTATTTCTTCTTTTTTTTTTTTTTTTTGATTATTTTGTGTGTTTATCTGTTTATGTGTATAGTGTGGTGTTAATCTGGATGTGAAATTTTCTACTATATATGTATGCATGTTAATATTGTGTTTAGTTATACAGTATAAGGTATATAGAGGGTAGTTGAATAGATGTTGTGTTGCTGTTATCATCCGTATATTATTTTTGTTATCATCGATCTTATTTCTCTTCTCTTATTCTGTTTTCGTTTTTCTGATTATTTTCAATCATAATTTATAATAAATATAGTTTTAATATTTACATATGTACGTATACATTGTATGATTGCAGATCTCTTAGTAAAACTTCTAGAGTGTATACATGCATGTGTGCATACAACAAAATATATACATGTGCATTTCCATACTGATATACGTAGATATATATAAATATTAAATGTAATAAAGTATGTATAGAAAAAATTTTATTTAGTAATAATAAATATAAGAAAAGAGCAGAGTAACAAATAAAAACATACTGTGTACAATTTAATAAAATTGATAATACGATGATGATAACAAAAATAATAAATTCCATATATACATAGATACAACATACAAATAGATTAAAACATTTAGGAACAGGCAATTTAATAAAAAAAAAAAAAACAAAAAAAAAAACGGCAGCAGCAGCAACAGCAGCCAGCATCAGAGAGTATCAGACGAAAGCGATAAGGAGAAAATATGTAAAAAACAAAAAAACAGAATCAAGGAATAAAACAAGATTAGAAAGAAAGTTAAAACCAATAAGAGTTGCCGTATTGATTTTTTTTCAAGTCTTTTTTTAATTTTTTTTTCCCATTACCTTCTCCTGCAATGATGGGTTTATGTTAATTCTATGAGATTCGGATTACGCAGCACTGGATCATCGTTTCTTTCATAATAGATTTTTGATATATAGTAAAAAAAATTAAATAGAATAGAGAATCATGTGACGCTAGCTTTTATTGGAGCCAAATTCCAGCTTATTCTGATTTGATAACATTGTAGTAAGAATACGTCTATAAATTATGTATAATCGTTTGTTATGTCAAAGTAACAAAAAGGTAACAAAATATTTTAAGTAAACGGTAACTCATATTGTTATTCTTTTAAATTATTAAGAAGATTTTTCTCCCATTTTTTTTTTTTTTTGTTTTTGTTTTGTGGATATACTTAAAGGTTGTTCGTTTCTTTTTTATAATCAATATATACATTTATATATATATCGATGTAAATAAGTACATATTTTAAGAATGGTAATAAATATATAAAAATTACAATAAGTAACATATAAACATATATACATAACAGTAAAAAGAAAAAGCGATAAATATAAAATATAATTTTGAGTACATTAAATTGATATTTTTAATAATAATTATTATATTGTATGAAATAATATTTGAAATTCAAGATAAGTAATAAAAATATATACGAATATACACATATGCATATAAAAACGGCAATGACAATGATAACGATGACGACGATGGGATAACACGATAACAACAAAGATAGATCAAATTTTATGTACATAATAATGATGTAAACAAGTTTAATCATCATCTGGCATTGGTCATAAAAATGGCATAATAATATTACACATGCATATATATATATATATATATATATATATATATATATGCAGATAGTATGTAAACAAAATATTCTTTTATATTTTTGATCCCTATGCGTTAATAACAAGAAATCGTTCCAAATACTTGTATTTTTTGAAAATCCTTATAGCCTTTTTCATAGATTATATAACGAAATCAGTTTTTTAAATATTCTTCAAAATTTCATTACATATTTTTTATTTATAAGCCCCTTCTACACTGTGCTAAATTTTCACCTAAAGTCTAAAAAATATAACAAGCCTGAAATGAATTCTAATTTTTCTATCCTAAAAAAAAAGGGGGAAATATTTAATCCTTTTTGATTTTTTTCGGGATAATAGAACATAAAATGAAATAAAAATGTGGAATAAATAAATTAAGTATTGAAATATTAGAATAAGCAAGCATATTAGCTAAAATTTTAACAATTTATAATAATATTTTTTTATAATTGATTTTTAACCCTTTTGTCCACCAATGTATTATAAGTTCTATATTGATTGTGAAGTATGGTGATTTTGTTTTCGGTTATATATACATATGTAGATTTTGGCTGGGAAAGAAGTGGAATGAAACAAAAGTTGAGAAAATTATATAAGATTCTGAGTATACGCAAACGAAACCGTGCTGCTAATATCTTTTTTCATACAGTCTTTTGATAATAAATTTTGATGAATGCAAGTTTTCTATATGGTCATATACATTTAATTCCTAGATATATGTATATCGAAATCAAATTAAATTTATAAAAAAAGTCAGAAGAGTGTGTGTGTCTGCTCTCTTTTGTATGTTAAATTTTCTTAAATATTCAAATAAAGTAAAAAACCAAAATTAATATTCAAATGGTACTAATTTAAAATATGTATAGTTTCGAATATTTTAAAATAAAACGTTATGAAAAGTGCACTGGGAAATTTTTTATAAAAATTAGATATTTTTTATAAACAGAATAGATCTAATCTATATACGAAATCACGACAACATTATTCTGTATCAAATTTTTACACAAATTAATTTCTTTCTCTTTATTTTTATTTTGAATATGAAACTATTTTGAATAGTTCTATAAAAGTATAGTGTTTTTAAATTAGTTTGCCTTTTGAGCCGCTTACAAAAATAAATTATCTATTTGGAATAAAAGAAATTTCTGAATGAGCTACAATAATTTCGTATATTTTTTTAGTTAAATTCAATATATTTTTGATCACATTACAATTAAATTTGGCAATGCTAATAAATTTGTGTCCATTAAAACATTTTTTATTCAGCTACATTTTCTTTTGAAAAACAAAAAAGGGCTTTTGCTTTGTTAGGGGGTTTTCGTTTATTCAGTTCTAGAATAGTTCTAGCTTGTAGTACGTTCGAAACTTCACGCTACATAAACTTAAAATATAAATCGTTCGTAAATTACTGACTCTAATAAGGTGCGTTCGAAAATTCAATCTGCAATAAAGATATGTTAGAAATGTAGCTCAGACCTCTAGTATAAATTTTGTCGCTACCTCATGATATTTTGTTTTTCTTTTTTAATTTAAAATTAAAAAAAAATTTTAAATTTCTAAATGGCAGATTTAGATATTGAAGGGTGTTAAAGTAAGTTTTCTTTAAGTCTTCAAATTTTGTTAAAATTTCCTTATTTTGCAGTGAGTTGGAAGGCGAAAAATATTGGGATAGAATTTCATAAACAATTTAATTTCTATTATTTTCGAACTACTCATTATTTAGAAGTTTAAGAATTTGTATACTGCGTAAACTTAGCTAAAGTTTTTGCGACTTGGAAATTTTAGTTCTAATGTAGAACCTTCAGTGCAGCGTGCATAAACGAAAACCCCCTTATAACACACATATATCAAAATTGGATTATCCACGAAATTGCTACACATTATATTCCTTTCATATAATTCAATGATAATAAGATCATTTTACTATTAGAAGTATTGATATATGATTATGTTCTACAAAGATAAAAATTATTTCTATTTACAATAAAATATTTTATATACAAAGCAGAAATATGATCTTCGAAATGGTTTATGATCACTTTAGATATGTTTTTTTTGCTGTGCGTGCCAGCATATAAAATTTCAGATTTTTGTCGAATTTCAGTTAAAAGTAAATTATAAATTTCTAGTATACTTAGGGGTTAACATGTTTTAAGTATATTTCAGGCGTTTTTCTTTTTTTTTTTGGTCAATAAAGGGTTAAATGTGGCGTGTATTGATTGTTAAACTTTTCTTTTCACATTTCAATTTATTTTAGATGTCAAGGATTTGTTTTGTAATTATATAATTGTTTGTTTCAATATCAGCAACTTCAATTGCATATAATTGTATTTGTATAAAAATTTTCTGTGATCATTATGTATTCATGCATATTAATCACAAAAAAAAGTAAATATGCTGATAACTTTTTTTTTTCGTAATTTGCTTTATTTTATGAAAATTTTAGCTTGTTTTTAAGAAAATTGACTAAATTTAATATTTATAATGTATAGAAAAATGAATAGATTTAAAGAAATAGAAGAGAAGCTATTATTTCAAAATTGCAGTAATATGTACAAAATTTCTAGTTACACAATTTAGCAATTGCAACCTCATACATGCTGAATTATTCTTTAAGACGTAAAGTTTTTAAGGTATTAGGAAAGTTTTGAAAATTATAATATTGCAGTAAGTTACACAGTATAGTAACCATTTTTTGGTAAAACATGTTTAAAGTGAATGTTCTCAGAGAAATAGAGTACATATTTATTGTACAAGTGAGAGTAGAAATTTTTGAATTCACAATTATTACCTAATATTTATTATACATAATGTTATATACATAGTTCAATACTTAATAGTGAGATAAGCTGAATTGTGTACGTTATCATATTAATTATTTGCTCTTATTTATTAAAAATTAAAAATTCAAAATGTAAGCATATATAAAAAATGACGATATCAAAGAATTCCAAAAATACTTTTTTGATTTTTGAATTTTTTTTTTCATTTTTGTTAGTAGTACTCAAAATCAATAACAACAAATTTAATAATATTTTTAAATTTAATCAATTTTTATATTTGATATTTATACCACATAATATTAAAATATAAATGTACATTCATTAAATACATATATATATATATATATATATAGAATATAGAAATTGTAATTAAAATTTTTTGATTAAAGCCAAAAAATGAGTTTATTTACTTTCTTTATTTTTGGTTGTTGTCTCTCTGTTTTTTGTTTTTTTTTTTTTGTTAAATTTATGACTGA